CCGGCCACAGAGACTGGCGAAACGTTAGGAAGAACAACCTTCAGAACACGGCCAAAGAGCCCGAAAAACCCACAACAACCAAAAGCTTCATTTGTTTTGATGCCAGGAAGGACAATAGATTGTTCCTACCCCTTTCTCCAATGCTTTTTCCATTATCATTTGGTATGTATCAGGAATCCCCTTAATTTTAATCCATAAAAATAGTCCAGCTTTAGGAGTATACCAATCTGCTAAACCTGGAAGAAAAAGCACAACAATTAAATGAAAGCATCCCAATGCATCTGTGTTCTTAAATGTAAATTGCATTACTTACATGGGAATAGAGGACATTTTAGCCTTTCAAAATGTTTGCTTCCATCCTGCACCAGACATACAGTTCTCCCTCATGTTAAGCCAATTAATCATTGTTTGAGATAATCACAGTTAGGTATTTACTCATTTTGAACATACACCATCAATTAACATTCAGAGGGTTAGCTTACATAGCTTAAGTTGCTGCTCATATACAGTATGGATCCAGAAGGCATGCACAAATGACGGACATATAGCTGTTTGCCACTTTATTGCCCTCTACTTGCTCCAGAGGAATGGCCTTGTGAACCGGCCCAGAATTTTAGCTTCACAGAAAGTGGTCAGATGAGTCTTTCACATAAGACTGGTCATTTAGTATCTATTTAGGAACTTAAATCGAAAAATTAACTGGAACTGGCAGATGCCTGATTGACCTAACATTAATTACTGAAGAAGCAAAAGAAACATTCATTTTGAAAGCAGAGTCCATGGCAGGAGCCAGTAATACCACCTGCTCCTTCCTGCTGTTTCCTCAGACTTCCTGCCAGGTAAATGTATACAGTATAAGAGGAGTTAATTAAAACTTAAGACAAATGATGGTTTAACTGTGTAGTCCTGCCTTAGCCAGATGTCCCTTTGAAAGTTTTAGATTATAATATTAATTATTGAGAACTGCTTGGAGTTCTTTTATGAGAAAAAAAGCAGCATAGAAATGAAATGTGACCACTTAGCAGAGACTGAGACTTCCTTTTCTTTACCCTTGCAGATCTTAGGGTACCAAAAACCCTGCTCCAGAGGAGGTTTTAAGACTCATGAGCAAGAGATGGCAGAAGGCAGGTGTTGCTTTGAATTCCATTGATAAAAGCAGTTCCCTGAGCAAAACAACCCCACTGGATGAGGGGGGTGGGGAGAGACAATTCTAAATCAAAATTAGCTCTGCTTCGAACTGAACTAACCTTAATGGAACACAGGAATTTCTAATATAAAGCAAAGTGTGCCTTGCTTCTTCTTTTGAGAGAAGGGTGGGATAGATATAAAAAGGATGGTGATAATAATAATGAGCCACGTCTACCTGTAGGCTTAGTACAGTTTTATTCCTCTGGATATTCTAATCTTCCCAGACATAAGGAGTGGAGGAAAAATATTGTCTAAAATTCTGGGAAATGCTACTAGTGCTTCTGCAGCTCCTTAGATAATAAATAATTCCTTAAATAGACTGGAAGACTTTTCTCAGTATGTAGTATGTGCTGTCCTAACTCTCTAGATCAATGATTCCCAAAGGTGGTTAATTCAAATGTTCTTGGACTGCAACTTCCAGAAACCCTGGCCAGCACAGCTGGTGGTGAAGGCTTCTGGGAACTGTAGTCCAAGAACACTTGGGTTACCCAAGGCTGGGAACTGCTGTTCTAGCTAGATAACAAAGCCATAATGATGGCAGACACACCCAGAAATAACTGATGCTTTCATAAATATGTATGTGCAACAGTGAGCTATGACCATGATAGCTGGGGGGAATTTTAGGAGGTCTAATTTCCAGAAGTAACTTTTCCAGGTTCTTTCAGGTATAATTTGTGGACTTTATCATGAAGCTTATACCATTTGGCAAAGGCTCATCCGGCAGTGCCATTCCTGGTTAAGTGCTATGGGTAGGGATAATCTCTAGTCAGGGTGGCTGAGACCAGGCACATGACATTCTTCTTAACTTCACAAAACTACTCTTTACATTTGACAAGAGCCTCGTGGCGCAGTGGTTAAAATGCTGTACTGCAGCTAAAACTGTGCTCACGACCTGGGGTTCAAATCCCAGGTAGCCGGCTCAAGGTTGACTCAGCCTTCCATCCTACCGAGGTCGGTAAAATGAGTACCCAGCTTGCTGGGGGGGGCAATGTGTAGCCTTTATAATTAAAATTGTAAACCGCCCGGAGAGTGTTCAGGGGGGTTAAGACCAGGCACATTACATTCTTCTTAACGTCACAAAACTACTCTTTACATTTGAAAACTGTTCTTAATTTGGAGCGTCCCTAATGACAGGGTCAGTGCCACAGGAAACATCAAAAAACTGTTCTTAATTGGAGTGTCACTAATGACAGGGTCAGTGCCACAGGAAACAACAAGTACCTTCATCACTTCCTTCCAAACATCCTGTCTGGAAACATCTGGAAAACTAGACCTATGGACTTGACAGAACAATACTAGTCCTCCACGAGTACTGGTCAGCTGTTTGGTTGCATCAAAAACCACATCCATGTGAGAGACTTCACCATAAGCAGAGACTAAGCAGAGGGTGCCTCCCCAATTTTGGAAGAAGCACCTTTTGCTTCCTAGCTCACTGAGACTTGCTCTGAAGGTAAAATAGCAATCATAAAGAAATCAGAAGTGCTGAATTCTCAAGCCCTCAAACAGAAGGCAAAGGAATATACGTATTCTGAGGGAGAAGTGAAATGTGGGGTTGAATTTCCCATGCTGCAATCTTCTGTTTGCTAGATAACATGAAGGGTGATGACTGCAAGTTGTGATATAATCACAATGCTTGAAATGTGAGGTGGAGCTTTTTAACTGTATAATTTGTCTAGAAGACCCACTTTTCTTGTTGTACTCCTTCACTGTGTATGGGAGGGATGAGGTACTCCAGATTGGTTTTGGATTATCTGGAAGTCTGACTGGAATTGAACCAGCATTTCCCAGTCCATGGGTTGAGAGCCCCTGGCTTCTCTGCTACTGCCTCTCTCCAGAATGTGAAGGTCAGACTAAAGAAGGGTAGGTAGGAATCATCTATCCCATGAGTCACATGCACTCCAGGGCTGTTTCTGTGGCCTTCATTGCCCTGCGGGAGAACTCTCCTATTTTTTCATATTTCTCTCATCAAAAATGGAGAATAAAATCTAAATCAAGATTAAATCTAGGGATTACAATTCTCTTCTTAAAAATTGACAAAAATCAATTTAGGGGAGGGGGAAAGGAGTTTGTTTGGAACAAAAAGTAAACTTCTGCAATTCCCTGTTTCATATGGAGGGGTTAGCGCAATCCCAGGAGGTTCTAAGCCTGGAAAAGTATCCCACAGGCCCCCAGAACTTGTCTATTTTTGGATGAATATATTCTTTGTAATGTGGGTTTTTAGTGAAAGGCCTTCTGTGGGCAGAATCTAATATTGCAGATCAGTCATTATTAGAAGAGGAAAATCTTTAACTACTGAAAGCCTTTGAGTGCACAGCAGGAGCTTTTCTTACCTCATATCATTTGTAGATTATCTCGGGCTGATTGTTTTGTAATTAGTCTTAAGAAGTTAAGTGCAGAATTCCTTTGGAGTCTGATTTATGAAACATGAAAGTCTGTCTGAATTCCACATCTTAAACACTAACAGCTGTTAGCTATGATCATGGGCCACCTGTAATGACTGTTTCTGTCCAGTTGGGTAAATTCTTGAGGCTACTGTGATACTGCATAATGACTGTATTCTTTTTTTATGGAAACAGTTTTTGAGTTCTCTCTGTTGGAAATGGCTGGTGCTGCTGACTGAACTCTCAAATGTGATGTGTACAAATAAGCTGATAAACATCCTATGCATATAGAGGTACACAGAGAAACACACTCCATGCTGTTTCTGGCTATTCCAAGTAGTATCTGTTTGATCAAAATGATAGCCCTTACTCATTCATTTTTTTCACTCTCACATTGTTAAAAATCACCTTGACCTTTCTGTTTCTTCTTTAAATCTATACAAGGTCTTTTGTGATTTTGATCTTGGTGCATTGTTATATCTAATTGTTCATGAGACTGAGTTCACTTACCTTTTAGCCATTTGTCTGCTGCAGCAAGCATTGTGTCTCGCTGTTTTTGGTAGAATTCTGACACTCTGGAAAAAAAAATTAATGTATGCAATCCTTAGAGAATAAAAGTGAGGGTCAGGAGTCAGGCACAGTGTGCCTATTAAATTCTATCGAGCAGATTACATTCTACGCTAAGAGAAGTAGGAAAGTAATTTAGTGCCACTCCATCTTTATACCTCAGAGAGGTATGATGGATAGATGTTTAGATTAAATGATAGCATATATCACCACCAGAACCACAAGCAAAGTGTCTCTGAATGTCAATTACTGTGGAATGAGAGATGGAGGGTTCAAAGCTTCCCATAGGTAAGTGAGTAACCACTTCTGTTAAAAAACAAGAACAGAGGCTGTGTGATTCTTTACACTAGCCATTCCCAACCTTTTTGTTATCATTGCTATAAACACAATATGAAAGAAATATACAGTAAGTTTAATCAGGATTGCATAAATCACATAACAAATCTTACAAGGTGGTGTGAGGTGGATTTTCCCAGTCTGTGGCCCACTTCAAATGCCGCAGGCCCCCCAGGTGACCATATCCCCCCTGATGAAAATGGCTGCTTTATACAGCAGATGATACCTCTATTCAGACCACTAATTTTTTTTAAACATTCAGCACGAATTTTTGTGATTTAAAAAACCCCCACTTCCTCAGACATCCAGAAATGCTTGAATTTTTTCATTCTTGTCTTCAAGAACGAAATGACAGAAGATTTACATTTCGAGTAGAAATAAATGGGCATATAACATTTAATCAATGAACCAAACTCCCACATTTCAGTAGAAGCCAACAGAAACTGACCAGAGGTATGATTTTTATTTTACTTTGCACGACTGCTCTCAGAATCTGGGAATTGTAGTCCAAAAAGCAATTTCCCCAGCCTCTGACTGGATGATGCACATGGTCTACTCTTTACTGTATATATGAAACTGATACCAAGATTTCTATTTATACAGACTATAGCCTGTGAACATGCTAGTGTTTTCATACATTTCTTACCTATCTGCATATTCCAGGAAACCTTTTTGGCCCCACTTCTTAAAAAGCTCTGTTAAGAGAACCTGTAAGAGAAAGCAAGTAAATTATGTGAAATCAAATTACCTCAGGGCAAATTTCAGTTGCTTATCTAAGCACTATTTTAAAGAGTGGGATTTTCTTTGCTTTTTTCACCTGAATCCCAAGATTTATTAGCCAGAGCTTAATATAAAAGTTATATATACACAGAATTAAGGAATTTGGAGCCCAGGCATTTGTTCTGAGTACCAGGACTGGATGAACTTCACAGTTCTTCATCACTAAATATAAAACAAAACAAAACAAATCACTTGTGGTTTTCTTAAGCTTTCTTCATTTTTGCAGCATGATTAATCTCTCTCTCTCTCTCTCTCTCTGCAGCATGATTAATCTCTCTCTCTTTCTCTCTCTCTCTGTGGTGGGATGCATATGTGTGCACGTGCCAAGAACCTAATTAGAAATTTGGCTTGGAGATTGCCCTCCAGTTGGTTAAGCTGGGGTCACTTGGGAGTAGAATGCAAGGAGAACAAACAGAGAAGTGGGGAGGAATTTTTGGGTCCAAGTATGTGGTCTAAATACTTAGACCCAAGTATTTTGGGTCTAAGTACAGTGGTGCCTCGCAAGACGGGTGCTCCGTTTAACGATGAATCTGCATTATGACGAGGTTTTTGCGATCGCAAAAGCGATCACAAAACAACGTTTTGGATGGGGGAATTTCGCTGCACGATGATCGGTGCCCTTTTTCGGGAACCGATTTTCGCTTCCCGACAATCAAAACAGCTGATTGTTGGGTTTTCAAAATGGCCACCGGGTGCTCAAAATGGCTCCCTGCTGTGTTTAGGAGCATTTTTTTGCTGCACAGGCACCCGAAAATGGCTGCCCCTATGGAGGAGCTTCGCTGGATGGTGAGTTCTTAGCCGATTGGAACGCATTAACCAGGTTTTAATGCATTTCAATGGCTTTTTTATTTTCGCTTTATGACGTTTTCGTTCTATAGCGATTTCGCTGGAACAAATTGACATCGTAATGCGAGGCACCACTGTATGTGCTGGTTTATAATTCATTCTGCCTGCTTTGGGTCATCTTGTTAAATGGCTGCAGAGCCAGAGGTTGGGAGTTCAATTCATCCGCTGTGCCTTCTTGACAAGGGTTGAACTTGATGATCCATAGGGTCCCTTCCAGCACTTCAGTTCTAAGATTATTATATGCACTTGGGGGAGGGATCATGTTCTGCCAGGAGCAAATACCAATACGTGGGTTCATGGTCTTCTAGCTGGAAATTTGTGTGTCCTCTAAATTTTGGTGTCCTGGGTCAAAGCCCTGGTTGCCCTGTCCTATACATCTCTCCTCCCCTTAATCTCTCTCCCCACCACTCTTTCTAGTGGGGAGTAATTTTGGTGTAACCATGGCTGAACGACAAAGTTGGAAGCACCAGTCAATCTATTGCAAATAACATACTGTAGTTTTATGACTAGATCTGAAACTACATGTTGCCCAGTCTTGTGTTTTATTAATATCTTAATGAAATAACTGGATTTACTCTGGGCAGCATTTCAGCTACACGTTCATCCACAATACATGTTCTTCCCACAATCTCCATGGGGATTTCATTTTCTGCAAATTCTTATTCCAGTAAAGCACTGTAATTTTTTCTTATTTGTTTTTACTGAAATATTTGTCATTGATGGCTGCAGAGAAGTGTTGTGCTGTCAGCCACTGACAGTTGGTGTAGTATAATAGTGCTAGAGATGGAGCAGAGGGATCAGGGTCAAATCTCTCTTGCACTATGAAGTTCACTGGAGGACCCTGGACCATTCATAAGGCCTTCCACCTGGGCTGAATGCAGAGCAGAAAATACTGGTGATGGTTTCAAATGCTCATTTAATCAGATACAGATTTAGTGAATTTTCTCCTCTTCCTGTGTGGCCAGTTAACTCAAATACAACAGGGAAAACCTGAGTTCCCAGATGCAAGTTCGTAGCAAGTGAATTCACATTTTTCTTGCTGTGTAGTCACACCCTTAGTCTCAGATTCTCCATAGCAAGAATTTTGGGAAGTTCTTACAAAAAAGAAAGAAAAAGAAAACAAACCTAAACTAAATTCATACTCATTGTGCACAGTTGTGCCTCGATTTACAAACTTAATCTGTCAAAATGTTCATAAGTCAAATACTGTAAGCATTTCCCATTGAAATGCACTGAAACTTGATTAATCCATTTCGGCTGTTTTTTGTTTGTATGTAGAGGCGCTGATTGTAAGTCGAAGCAACTCATTGTGCACAGTTGTGCCTCAATTTACAAATTTAATCTGTCAAAATGTTCATAAGTCAAATACTGTAAGCATTTCCCATTGAAATGCACTGAAACTTGATTAATCCATTTCGGCTGTTTTTTGTTTGTATGTAGAGGCGCTGATTGTAAGTCGAAGCATTAGTTCCCATAGGAACTAATGCAAAACCGGTTAATCTGTCCTCTACCACTAGGGGGAGAATTTTTCTTCTTTTAACCTAAGATGAATGTAGGTTTAAAAAAAGGGCAGGAAAGGAGGGAGGAAGGGAACAGTGGGGAAAAGAGAAAAGAAAGAAGGTCATCACCAGGGCACACAGACCCCTTAGACGAAGGTTTGTGCTTTTAAGCACAAAAGAGAAGACGCACAGAGAGAAGACAATTGGGGGGTGGGGAGAGAGTTTGGAGTCTAAAACACATTTTAAAGCCATACATGCTAAACCCACACATTTTATACCAACACATTTTAAACCAAACCAAGCAACATTTTAGAGGCCACCAGCCAGCACAGACCATTGCAAAAACATTTCTGATTTTAAAACCAAAAGACTAACCTCCATTTTAGAGTAAACCAGCCAGCACAGACCCTTGCAGAAAGGGTCTGCAAGACCCATCAGAGCACAGAAACATAACCCCACCTCACCTAGCCCAAACCCAAGCTGCAAAAACCCTGTACAGAAAACAAACGGAGGAGATCAGGAATGCACAGAGAACAAAGCAAAAAGCAAAGGAAGCATGCAGGAACCATTGCAAAAGCACAGAAAACAATCAGAGAAGATCAGAAATGCACAGAGAACAAAGGGACAAGGTCAGAAATGCACAGAAATCAAAGGAAAAAGCAAGGGAAGCATGCAGGAACCATTGCAACAGCACAGAAAACAAACGGAACAGATCAGAAATGCAAAGAGAACAAAGCAAAAGGCAAGGGAAGCATGCAAGACACATTGAAAATGGGGAAACCCCCCCAAAAAAGCAACCAAACCCCACAAGACCCATCAGAAATGGGGGGAACCAACCAACCAAGAAACCCCCACAAAGACCCATCACAGCACCGAAACATAACACCCCCAGCCGAAAATCACGCTGCAAAAATACCCAGAACAGTTTTTAGAAAGTATAAAGCACCACTTTACCTTAGCAGGCAGCCTCTTTGGATCACACACTCTCTAACTGCCAGGGCAAAAGAGCTACAAAGTAGCAGCCTCATCGCCATCTACAGTTAGCTATTTGAATTTCCCACCCTTTTCCCCTGCCTTTTTGTGTTCGTAAATGGAAGCTCCGGTCGCAGATCGAAGCAAAATTTTGTGACCGGAGCTGTTCGTAAGTCGAAATGTTCGTAGGTAGCGGCATTTGTAAGTCGAGGCACTACTGTACTTGATTATTTTTGAGTCAACCTTACTCAACTCAATGGCATTTATTTCTGCAGAAACGTTATAGGATTAAGGCATACTTGTGTAAAAGTGCTAGTGTGCATCGTTGAGACTTCTATATGTAGAATAATCCTGTCTATCAGAGGTGCAGGTCCTGTTAGAAAGCCAACTCTCAAGCTGAAAGAAAGGACAAATGCTTGTTAAAGGCACACATCCTGGTAATATTTGTTATATAAAACCTTGCCACTTTGTGACCTGCAGTGATATATTTGAAAGTGCATATGCTCATGGTGACAGAGCCCATAGCTAGCTCCCCCATCACTGGAGAGTCTAAAAATGCTGTTGCAGGATCAGTCCATATCAACAAATGAGGAGACGGTCTTTGTAAAGCAAATGACTCTTGATTGCATATTTGAGACCATACCACTCTCAAATACTTTGTATCACAACTGAAATAGCTTGCAGAAATATAGTATTCCTGGAAAAATGAATTTCTCTCCCAGTTGTGAGGATTGTAGCTAAGCTCAGAGGGAACAAGGAGAGAGGTGGCAGATGATGCCATAGGCTCTGCTAAACAGAAGGTTCCATGGCTTTGACCCTGTGAGTCCTGGTTCCACTGCACTACTGGATCTGATCAAATTTTCATCAAGATTATGGTATTTGAACTTTTACTAAATAGACAATACCAGTCTGGACATCTGTAACATTTCTATTCTGATATTGTTGTCCCTTGATTTAACAAGCAAAGCAATGAAAATACTGCTGTAGGCACTGTACAGTAATGTGTTCATGATATAAGAGTGAATGTAAGATCTCTGTTAATAAATTAATATTAGATTAAGATGCACAAAAGACTTAAATGGGTGTTGCCAAGAAAATATGAGGGTCTTTTAACAGCTCATCCCTTATGCCTTCTTTCTTTGGATGGCAGCACCCTAAGCTTGCCATCATTAAAAAATATAGTTGGCATGAAACTCAACATTTAATCAACTGAATTATTGTATGCCTGCAAATTAATTTGTTGAAACTGCAGTTTTATTAAGACTTTCTTTTGGTTTTAAGCCCTGCCTTCTTCAGTTTGTTTCGTGAAGGGTGTCAAATCCTAGCAAGCTCCACAGATAACACAAGAAGCACTTGAATTTGCGATTCTTATCAGATACAAAATTCTTGTCTGAAGATTCTTGGTGTAATTGTTAGAATACCCACTTCCTTTCCTAGTTGCTTAGGCCAACAGGTAAGATGATGTTGGCATTTCAGTTTGTACTCACCCAGAAGAAATGATCTTGGAGAAAGTATCACCTCTGATGACTCGGCCATCAACGTCCATTGAAAGAAATGATGGTGGTTTGGGCTTGAAATATAGAAGACTTGTTATTGTTAAAACTAAACTGATTATCTGCTTCCTTCTGGCAACAAAAAGTGTACTGCTTCAAGCAGCAATTAAATCCTCCCTATGCTATAGATGACAATGCAAAAATAGGCAGCTTCTAAACTGCAAGAGCTCATAATGACAGTTCTCCTTAACAACAATGCAAAGGACAATCTATAGCTACAGTATATTTCCCACTGAGAAAAGTTTAAAAATACAGGAAGGTGTGTTGATCCAAAGAGCAACTCTGGTGAGGAGAACAGAGTTAAGCTTCCTGGTGTTCATTGGGTGAGCATAGGCTCAGTCATTGTCTCCGCCTAGGGTAGCTAACAAAAGATCATATGCTGGGCCAGGCCTCTCCTTCCAGCTCTCAAACATGGATGTTGACAAATACATTTTGGGCAGATGGCCTCATTGCTCCTGATGTAAAAAAGTAACACCTGTCGCCGTGTCCCTGCTTCATTCATACCACTGTACAAATGATCTTGTTAGGAAATTAACAAGATCTGGTGCATTAACATGGATCCCAGTGTCTGGCACCCAAGGCAATTGCTAACCAGAGATTGCAATTCTAATACAAGAAGGCCAGTTCATTAAGATGTTAGTTAGAAACCTAATTAGTTAAAGAATCTAATTTAGCTTAGATTAACAATTTATGTTTGGATTGATGATTGTAATGGCTAAAGTTTTTAATTCATTATTAGGCCATATATTTACCAAATCCTGTTGCTTAGCTTAGTAAATCACAACAGAGTAGGGTCATTGAATAGACACGGCTTTAAATAATAAATTCTTCCATAGGTTCCATTGGCTTAAATAGGCTTACTTTAACTGCACCTTATTATGCTGAATTAAGTTGCAGGTAGAGTAGGCCCATTTGACTGAATGGAACTCACAGAGGAGTTGACTCACCAAATCCCCATTGATTCAGTGGGTTTACTCTGCTACAATTTACTATGCTAAGCAATAGGATTTTGGTCATTACGGTATCAGTGTCTTTTGAAAGAAACTCTAGGAGAAAATGGCATACACTGTTTACTGTATTCCCCCAGTGGCATTCTGTTGTTTATTTCTTCAGATTGGCTCTTCTTGTAGTTTGTTAGCTTTCGCAACCTTTGCTTTCCAGCTGCCTTGAATTACAAATCTGACAATTTAATAGCTGACTTGGGATGGTAAGATTTGTAGTTGAATGCATCTGGAAAGCGCCAGATTGTCCAACAATATGGATGTAACAAGCTGTTCAGTTAAGATTGGTTACTGATCAACATCGGTCTTCTCTTCTTCCTTGCCACATATACTTATATTGTTCACTCATCCATCGTATATTGTGGACTCAGTCTAAATGATAACGTTAATAAAGAATTATGTTTTTATTTCAGTTAGAGGACCCCAATTGAGAGTAAAACTGAAGTAGAACAATAAGTGCTCCAAAGACCAATCAGTAAATGAAGAGTGGAGAATTCTTAGGGAGAAATATTTTAAGTGCCTATGAGCATATGCAAAACAGAATAGATGCATCCATTGCCTCCTGACTCATTTAGAATTAAGGAATATAGTAATAGGTGGAAATCTAACATCATCAGTAAGGAAGAGAAATTGAGAAAAAATATGTCTATATGCGTTGCATAAGCATGGCTCTGCTGATAAGAGTTGAGAAAAAAACACTCTCTCCTTGTTTTGTCTGTTGGAGTTATTGCAGCCTCACCTGCTGCCTTTAGTAGGCTTGGCTGGAAGGGCCCGTTCTGGGCTGTAGTGACTGTCAAGCAATTCAGCAGTAACCAATTATAGAAAAAAACACTCTGTCCTTGTTTTGTCTGTTGGAGTTATTGCAGCCTCACCTGCTGCCTTTAGTAGGTTTGGCTGGAAGGGCCCGTTCTGGGCTGCAGTGAATGTCAAGCAATTCAGCAGTAACCAATTATTTTTTTTCCTTTCTCTGATTTTGAAGGGAGCCTTGCCTCTCTGCTCTGAGCCTTTCAGTTTGCTGGTAATTAGTGTGTAGTCTGTTAGAGACAGTTACTTTAGTCTGGTGAGCCTGCTGGAAGCGGTCGGCAGTGAGTGTTTGCGGCCTGTTACTCTAAGCAGTAATGACTGTTCTGTTTACTTTTTTTAAAAAATCTGTTTAACTGTAAGTAAATAAAACATTTTATTCTTTCTCTTACCAATGTCTCAGAGTGAGTTATTGAGACTTTACATGTCAATTGGTGTGAGAAAAGGGGTGGTCTATTCTGGGGAACGTGAAGCTAATTCTGCTCTGTGAGCACTTGTTCTTCTGCTGCCCACCTAGAGGAATTTAACCAGAAGCACAAAACTCTGAAACATTGCACACTGAAGCTCTTGTCTCTCCCCTGATTGCCCATTTCTCCCCTTGTCATCCTTTTAAATGATGGCACTAGTCTTCTCGCTCACAGATATGTACACCTCTGAATTTGAGCTTACTTTACAGTACTTTGTTTTCAGTTACTCTCATACTACACTGCAGAAACAGAATTTAAAATGAAAGAGCGCTTTTCTCACAGATCCGCCCCTTGTTTTCTCCTCTTCACCTTCTTATAATGGCTATGGTTCAGATTCTTTTCTTGATTACACTGCTGGTTACAGTCACAGCAAAACACACAAAATAAAATAATTAAAATTGCAGTTAAATGCTAAACCGATTGGGACATAATCAAGTCACCATGTTCGTAGAGTTTGGCCTTTATTGGGTTAAATGTTGACAGATCAGTCTAATAAATGATTAATTTATCCCAAACTCTGTAGCCAAATCCGAGAACAGACACTGTTCTTTTCAAAGATCAGTGCTCATTACATCTCTCTGTCTCTGTGAATGTTTTTAAAAGCATGATGTGAATGTTATTATATTATGTCAGGAATGGAATGATAGAGCAGATGACTTGTTATGTTTTGTAAACATGCTTTGGGTTGCATCTGATAAAGAATGGTTGTTCCTGAAACGCATAGGGTGTAACATCTGTAAAGTATTGTTAAGAATAAAAATTTCCTCTGTATATTCTGATATTTGCTTCAGAATCCTAAAGGTTAGATACCTTATTCCCTATGATGCCAGAACCATAAGACAGAATGGGATACTATAGGAAGTTCCTGCTGAGACATTTCAGAATTTTCCTGGCCAAGAAGTCCAGTTACATTAGAAGACCAATGGGGTACTAGCACATTCCTTGGCCCAAGTGCCTGAGAAGACTTTAAAGTTTGAAGTGTTATTTCTTTTTCATCAAGAAGAAAGTCCACATCACTGGTATAACAATCAATACATAGGTTTGGTTTTACCTTCTCAAACTGGACAAAATAGTACGGGTCATCTTCTATGATAAGAAAGTTGTATTCTTGAGCAAGCTAGAAGACAAACCAATAAGAAAAACATATTTTGTGAAATTTTATGAGTACATACTTAAAGTTTGTCTACAAGCTGAGTTGATAATGGCTTCATGAAGATGCTGGAAATACTTGCAGTATTTCTGTATGCCTGGGCCAAATAAAATTAGGATGCGTCCAGGCAAGTCTTTTATTGTGCAGTTCTTATTCACCAGAAAACCAAACCAAACCAAACCACAACTAAAAATCGACTAAGGAGGTAAGCAACTAAATGCATAATCCCCTTTATTACAAAAGGGAATTCCTTAAACATTGGCAATGCCTGATTGTCACATCAGGAGCTTTCTATAAAATCCATAGTTTGCAAACTGGCTTGTTTTGTCTAGTGACTGATAATCAGGGGGAGTAGCACATGCTGTTTGCCACTGTGGTTGTTCAGTCATGAAGTTTGTCTCCTGTCAGGTCTCCAGCTTCTAATTACAGATTACCTATAACATGTAGTTTGGAATAACTGCAGAATGCATTTTCATTGTTAGTGAGAGGAGCATCTAGAAACACATTAAGACTCTTGGTAAGTATGCTCTTTCACTAGTTTCAACCTAATGCCCCTGGATTTCTGCATGAAGTCCATCCTAAACAATTCTCTGCAACAGAAAAGTTGTGAATAGCACATAACTGGAAGTCTTAAAAAAAGGAGCCATCTGAATGACAGTAGTAAAAATATGGAATATGACTAGGTAACAAGCCTATTTAGAATTCTATACTGCAGGACACTTTTATTATCACAATTGTGTGCCACCAAGTTGTTTCCAGCATATAGGAAAGTATGTGTTCTCTAATTATTACGTACTCAGAAATTATATCTAAGTCTCTTCCTCTGTTCGCAGTCTGGGACCATGAAGGCTACACAGTTTTAGATTTCACATGTGAAGCACTGTACACACATATTAACTCTCATGTTAGAGGTTTCTAGCATCTGTGTGTGCGCAACTCATATATACCAAATAAACAGACAAAAACGATGTTTTGTCTTATGGTAATTGGTGATGGAAGGTGAGGGTTGAAGAGCAGAATGGGAGCGGGTAATTTGACTCTCCTCCTAAGGTCCAGTCCACAAAACTGGCCAGATTAGTCAGTAACTGATCAGTTAGCAGCAACTCAGTTTTTTCCCCCAGCTTCACTGCTCTTGTCATTGGTTCCTCATGATATACAGTACCTAGGAATATTTCAGTATCTTTTACCTCTCATCTGTTGCCTCACATTAAGCAAGAGTTTAATTCCACACTTGAGAATCTTGTTCCCACTAGCTATTCATACAGTCAGCTGGTCTTGCTCTTCTCTTGCTGCCTTATCACTACCTCTTGGTTGGCTGGTTCCTTTCTTTTACAGCCCTCCAGTGAAGAGTCAGGTATAGCCTCAGCTGAAAAACCGCCGGGACCATGGTCCCTGTCTTGGCTATAAAATGCCAGACAGGAAATAAGGTGGATCAGTTAGGTTCATACAGTGGTGTGCTCCTATAGAAACTCTCCCTAAACAGAGGAAACAAGCATATTGGGGAGAAGGTGTGGCTGCACTGATTTTTAGTTGTATTGTTTTTATTTGCTTGAAGGAACATCTCTTTCATATTAGTCCTCACCTACAATCTAAAGGGGAATAGCACTCATAGGCATTTAATAACTTGATGAGAACCAGATTATTTTCATAACTTTTTCCTGGCTTCATACTCAATCCTATGGAAGGACTCCTCCTTTTTACAGATAGTCCAGTGTACCCTCCCATAAAATATTTCACATCAGGGCAATCAGACTTTCAAATGAAGCCTGTGTTTACCTCCCAGTGACCTGTCACAAAACAAAATAAGCTAACTTGCAAAAGATGTAGCTGAAAAAAATCTTAACAATATCTCATGTAATTTAATTTGCACTCTTTGTGTATGTTTTCCCCTCTGCCCAAGCTTTTTGGTGCTTCTCTGTAGTCTTTGATAACTGGGAAATGGCTTTCTTCCTTTTCTATTTTAGTGAAGACACAGGAAAGTGATGGCTCAAAAGTTCTCGGAGGCATTCCTTTTGTTGTCACTGTCATAGTGTTGTCCCTGCTAAAGCACTGCACCAGTCATTTACTCAGGAAATGCTGTCTTTGTTTTGCTTGTAAATTACAATGATGGCAGGGCTTACCTGGTAAATCTCTTTTTTGCGTTCTGCTGTCAAAGTGCTTCCAGAAGGATTGCCCCCAGAGGGAACAGTGTACAGAAATTTAGGGGTCTTGCCACTGGGCTTGTGCATGTTGTTGGATTTCCACCTGGAAAGAATTTCCTTCAAAGCTTTTGGAATAATACCATGTTCATCACTAGGGACTTTGATAATGTTACACCCTAAGGGCCGCAGCTGTTTAGGAAAAGGAACAAGATGTTAGACATAATTGAATAATCAGCTCAGAGAAGTCCTACCAGACATAACTTTTTTAAAAGCAGTAGCTAAATGCGAAATCATTAATCTAGGCTAACACTGTTCTTCTAAATTGTTTTTAAAGACTGTTTGTCATGTGGAGGTGACAATCAAAAGGTGAAAGACAGGTAGGAACACACAAGCATCTTTCCATTCACCCCCCAAAGGATCCAGAATCTTTGGACATGCGAAGTCCAAGTATTTAATCACACCATTTTCCTGTAGATTATGGTGAAATGTACTGCATAGCCTCAGGTTGAAAATCAAAATTAAGGGGATTATGTATTCCCTGTTATTGGCACATTTTTCAGTAAAGTACTTTTCTTAATTCGCAAGTCAGCAGTCAAACTTCCAAATTAAGCCCATATTTATCTTCTGATGACCAATCACCAAACAAAAGCACAGTGAAAGGTAAGATGCAGAGATGGAGAACATATGCTAAGACAAATATATATATTTCACAACTTAAGGAAGCACGACTGCTAAATATATGCTAAGCACATAATCTATGATGACCTGCAGATTGTATCCTGTCTGGGAAAAACATACTTCCAAAGTTTGTACAACCGCTATTATCTCTATGCCTCACCTTCTCCTGTCACGGATAAGAGGTATGGGGCCTGCAATGAACCGGAGGCCTGACATGATGACAGTGGAGTGTATTCTTAGGGTATGGGTTGAGAAACTCTTGCTGCAAGGGTCCTCCTGACAGGTTTCAAGAAGCTAAATGCTTTGTTTGGCCTGGTCTGGTTTTTCAGTAATTGTACAGGGGTCTGCAAGTGCTCCTATCAGATTCCTTGAGGTATTCCTTGTGAGGAGGAGAGGAACTAAAAAACAAAAGCTGCTGCATGCAAGTGAGGAAGTGGTGGACAATTGTTAGGATGAAACCCAGTACCTCAGCCAGTATTGTAAACCTGAGGAGTTAAGGAGCAAACTGGACAATACATTTATCAAATTTTCCCCACAGGTCTTCATTAAATGGTGAAAGATGTCACAGCATATGATTTTTCTCACTTACACATTTCTCTTTGTTTGCGATTGGTCGGTGGAAGGCATACACTAGCTTAATTTGCAAATCTGACTGCTGTAATATGTATATGTCAGGAAATCCTGTTGCCGGAGAGAAAATATGTTCATTGTATAGTTTAACATTGAGACTCATATGTGCCCTTTTAGGTTTGTGTCTGGATTTGTTCTCGCCTTGCTTGACAAGCCAGTCCCACCAACCATTGGAAGCTTGTTAGCACTAGTGCTTCAAGAAGAAGAGTTTGCACATCTTCCCATTTATAAGCTCCAAAGATGACTCACTGATGCCATTGTTCCGCTGAAGTTGGGTTCATCTAGAAGGACATTATCTCCTGGGCTGAGAAGCATATCATATACCTGCAACATAAGAACAGAAAAGTTTCAAAGCATAGAGCCTCAAACAGGCTCCATGCATGCATGCATGTTAGTAGGTGCTTCCATCTTCAGATTTAGATATGAAAAGCTAGTGTTTCCAGATGTAATGGTGATGAAACAAGACATCAGTGGCAGGTTTTTTTCTTTCATTACTTAGAGTACAGGGAAACTATTTTCTGGCTCAAGGAGGGAAAGGGAAGAGCAAACCTCCTCTTTTTGTATGCTATGGTTCCAATCCAGAGCAGACCACCCACTTCCTTTTAAACAAATCAAAACAAAACCCACTGTGGACAGTTGCACAGTATGGCTGAAATCCAGCAGTAAATCATAGCTGGAGTAGGTCCATTGAATTGATGGAATTTGCAGAGGAGCTGATTCACCAAATCCACACTGATTCAGTGGTCCTATTTTAGTTGTGACTTACAACTGGATTTCAGCCTGTTGGGTAGATCCAGATTAAGGCATGGATGGCTGGATATTCCTTAGAAATGGATATGGAAAACAGGCTTTTCTTCCCCAACAGGACTTCCACTCTCTATGTAGGATTCATGGTAGGAGGGGAAGGCTCGAAGGCAGCGCTTTTAGCCCTCTTTTCCTGGCATGACTTCTACACAGAGAGTGGAAAGCCCTCTTTAATGGTTCTATAGGAAGTGAAACAGAACTTATTGTATCCAGTTCTCATTAACTTTGATCAGTCTGTCCAATGATGAGGAATGATGGGAGTAGTAGATCATCACTATCTGGAAGACCACAGGCTCATCATCCATGGTATGAGCTGTGGTGCATAAAGAAAAGGAGACTTTTTTAAAAATCACACAGAGGCACTTGCTATGATCGAACTCACTGCTGGACAGCATAGTGGTTTATATATCTGGCTGTGGAGCTAGAGATTAGCAGTTAAATTCCCCACAATGCCTCCGTGACAGGAGATGATGGTTTGATGATTCATAGAGTCCTTTCCAACTCTGCAGTTCTAAGATTATCAGATTATATTAGATTTCCATTTATATACCTTCAAAACTGGACTATTCATCTAACAAAACTGGCCAACTGGAAGCAACTTCAACTGGTTTTGCTTCCACTAAGAGGAAGAATTAGTAGAGGTTAGATTCAGGATAGAAACCCCCTCACAGAACACCCCAGTAGAAAAAAAAGTAGTGGGGAAGGATTTTTTTACTCATTCCTTTCCACCATGCCTTCCAAAAAAACAACTATGGGGAATATTTTGGATCCAATCATGCCTGTAAAAATACTTCTTAACAAATAATAGAAGGGGAGAAATTATTAGGGAAATGTCCTGTTATCTTCTGTTGTGCCCATGAAGTACCAAACTCAAAATATTTCCAGTATCAGTTCTCCCATTGGATAATATGGGTGAGAATTCTCTATAGAAAACAAATAATTTAATTGCAATGGAGCATCAATACATTTAGTTCAATTGTGTAAAGTGATTCAGCCATGTTGGGTTTCAAATCCCCCATACTTTATTGAGTCCATCTTGGCTGCCTGTAGTGATACATATCTTCATTTTTCCTTTCTCGGGAGGATACAATGCTGTCGGTGGGTTATGGATTTTCATCTGTAATTCATATAACCAAGACAACAGTTCTTGAATTCTGTAAAACACACACACACACATATTTTAATTCTAAGAATATTCACAATTTTATACTTAACAGTTGGATGTTTTTGCAATAAATATGTGATAAATAATAAAATACAAAGGCTTGGAGTAAGTTAGGATATGAGCTGAAAATTCGGGGAAAGAATATTTCAGGTCACTTTTTCCTTTAAAGCCCTTGTTGTTCAGGATGCCCCCTCACCCTCCCTATAATGATGATGGTGATAGACTTAGGATACTGCACAGACTCAAGGAAGAAGAAAGAGGAAACTTTCCTTCTAGGACTGTCATTGAATTAAGATCTAAGTGATAGACACTTAATGACTCGAATCCCGTTGCTTAGCATGGCAAATCCCACTAGAGTAGGCTCATTGAATTAGTGGCGATTTAGTGAGCTATCTCTTCTCTAAGTTCCATTGATTCAAACAGGCCTGCTGGTGCAATGAACTATGCAAAGCAACAGGATTTTGGCCAATGTTTACTTAGAAACCCTTTTTTATATGAACTAGAAATTTGTTGCTGATTTTTTAAACACCAACACCCCAACCCAAAACAGTACTTTGGATAAACAGCTGAAACCTGTTGCTTCAGCTGATTCCTGTATAGTCCAAATAATCACCAACTATGCTATATTAATTTGTTTGCATAGTTCTAAGGCAGCTACGAGTAGACTGCTGTGTGTGGACTAGAAAAATGGCAGCACATATTTGCTTTTCACAGAGAAGATATGAACCTCATGGCACTTGCATCTGGGCTTCAAGGAGGTGTTGTGAAAGATGGGGCCTTGGTGGGGGGGAGAAACCTCCAATTCCAGCCTGGCCTATAAGAGTCAATCAGAGCAGGTAGGCAGTGTATCCAGCCATCCGCTTAACGGGTAAAATCTAGCTAAATACACTTCTAGTGTGGTTATTATGCCAGGTACAACTGAGCATTGCAAGAGTGAAATAAAAGCAGCTAGATGAAAGAGATCTCTGAGATTTTGGATTCTTAGGATTTCATTCTGAAATATCAAGGAATGGGGCACTGCTGCCCTAGAAAAGTTCATTTCCTTTGGGGGTTCACCCTGACATATGGAAGATCACTGGAGATTGACCAATAAACTCCTGTTTACTAAACCAACCTTGGTTTAGCACCCCTCTTCCTTTTAGCAAGTAGTACATATGCTTCCCACTATGAACTATAGCCTGCACATCTTTTTCAACCAAACATCAAAGAAACAGTCCTTCTGGGTGATTTTCTCCCTATACTCTCCTAGCTGTTTTTCTCTTTGCTTATGTCTCTCCTCTATCCTAACAACCAACCATGTAATTCATCAGTTACTCTTCTTACTCTTCCATCTATCTACTTTTATTTCATCCTTACAATGCTCAGTACTGAGCAATGCTGTTCCACTCTTTGTTGTTTCATGACTCCCTCTCTCCCTTTTTCCATGTATCGTACTTTTATTTTATCCTTACAATGCTCAGTACTGAGCAACGCTGTTCCACTCTTTGTTGTTTCATGACTCCCTCTCTCCCTTTTTCCATGTATCCCTTCACTCACCCGTCTGTCCATTTGCTTTCATTATCCCCATCCTATTTCCCTTTGTTCTACTGTTCAGTTCAAGAACTGACACTACTTCTGCTCTTCCAAGTGTGGATTCCCATCTGGATGCCCTTGTTTGCAGTGAAAAGCTTTAGTACATAGCAATACTGAGAACCCATGGTCATCCCATGAAAGTGATTGGCAATAGGTTCACTCAGACAAAAGGAAATATTATTTTGTGTAATACTATTTATGGAGCTTATCATCCAAAAAAGTATCAAGGCAATATATGTCCAAATACTAGGTGTTGGGACAAACAGTGCTTGACATCTACATGCCATATTTTAGATTTCCTGCAGACATCTGTCTGATGATTGTAGGTGACATGATTCCAGATAAAAAGAACCCTTAGTCTGGTCTAGTGAAGCTACAGATATCCTGGCTCACTGCTGAGAAATAGCCTATTCCATGCTCAAGTCTCCTGGGGTTGTTAGTCTCCTGGGGATAAATCTAATTCCGAAAATAAACAAACAGTGAGTATGAATTTTGATGAGTACCCCTCTGAAGGACTGTACTGGAGAGCTTTCTTCATCAGTTGTTCTCCAATGTCAATGGTAGTTCCATCACGAAGGGAGATACTTGCCGCTTTTATTGGGAAATAGTCAGCATTTGGCATCCCCCCTGAAAGCATTATTATGGAGGACATCTTCTTTGCCAGTCCACCTGTTATTCACATAAGTGAAAGAGGATCCATTGTGGGAATTTGAAGCTACAAGACATGAGGAACTCTAAAAGTAAAATGAGCAAGACTTGGCTTTTATAAGAAACCAGAAGTGAAAGTTCATGTGACACAGAACATTTTCCTTTTACCAGACCCACAAAATATACAGTACAGACAACACAGAGACGCTGTTGTCCGCATTAAAATATCCACTAAAATAGCCCTCTGTAAGCTGCTGCCATATATTGTGGCTTTTCAGTTGAGGATTTGTTAGCATAGCATGATGGTTGAGAGATATATTTCTGAACTTGACTTGTGGTGGTGAAGGTGCAATGAAAATGGGAGCTTCTGTAGAAGAATGGGGCTCTGTTCAGGTGTCACTTACCTGACTCTCTCCAACATGCAAGCAGGAGAGTGCCAGCTCCTCCACTCTCTGTGGGACTTTCTCCACTAGTAGAATGATGTGCCTGCTGAAGAGGGGTTCCTGCTCACTTGGAGGCTCTCCATGTGAGGAAGAACTGTCAGATTCTTGCTAGTGCCTTGTAGACACACAGAGAAAGCAATCTTGGAAAAGGAAGGGGATGGGAGTTTCCCTGCTCGTCTGTTACAGAAACCAAGTGAATAACACCTGAATAGGGCTAGAATTTTCACAGACCTAGAAAGGTAAACCTCAAGATTGTCCATTTGAATCACTCCTTTCCAGACGTAAAAAACAAAACAAAAGAAAACAAAATAGCTCTGGGGTCACATAACACAGATTCAGGTTAAAAAAATCATTATAGATATAGCGTATTCCATGCCAATGTTTAAGAGAAAAAGAAAGACATTTAGCGGCATAAGTGACACACACAATGAAAGTCTACTACTATTTATTTCATGAAATACCTGACTATTACTGGTCAGTAGATTGTAATGCTGTATGAAAATTGCTTACTGTCAGGCTAAACGATTTGTCCATCTAGCCTGTTACTCACTCTGACTAGAAGTGAATCTCAGGTATGTTTAAAAAACTCCAACAACCTGGTGATGTCAGGAATTGAGCTTGTGACTCTTTGGATGGCAAGCAGATGCTCTGCCATGAAGTATAAGCCATCCTAGTGGTCTTAACTGACCAGATAGGCGGGAGAGATGCTCTGCCATGAAGTATAAACCATCCTTAGAAGACTGTTGTTTAAACTGGCAGCCTTCTCAATGCTATCCAAGCAAGATTTAAGATTGCATGCGTTTATCTGGCTTCACATGGAGCACAGCAAGCAAAGGAAGTGATGGCAACAGTGCAGGATTTACTTACTGGTCATTCTTGCAGGGTTTGTTTTCCTTGCCATACTTATAGGTGTGAGGAATTGAGAGTAATCCATTTTGCTGTGGTCAGCGAAGGTAAAATTTCTCTGACTTAATCAGAAAATTACAAAAAATGAGAGAGAGAGAGAAAAGAGATACATCACATTTGCTTGAAGCTTCCGACGTCTTTTTGTGAATACAGATAACATTATACAGATCATGTAGTGCTGTGGAATTTGTAGAATCTGCAAAATTTTGTCTAGTTATGCAAACTGAAGATTGTTCAACAGCATCAAAAACAGAAAAATGAAGGAGCAGATCATGTAGTGCTGGGGATTTGTAGAATCTTCAAAATTTTGTCTAATTATGCAACAGCATCAAAAACAGAAAAATGAAGGACAGAGGAGTTGGGGGAATAATTTCGTACCCCTGAAAAGTACAAAGTTTTTCACCAAATCCTTTCTGAATCATGATTTTTTTGAAACCTTTCTTTATGCTTCATCAACTCATTTGTTAAAATGAGGATTTTTTTAAAGTGTGACAAAAGACTCAGTTTTAACAACAAAACAGCATGCAGTTATTTTTGAAGATATCAAAAGAACAGAACAGAATAGAATAGAAACTTACAATCTGCTATCTGATGCAAAGGTCCAGTAGCTAACAGAAGTTTGTTCTAAAAAAACTGAAAATATTGAGATTTCTTCTGCTTTCAAATAGGGAACCAGAATAACTGGTGAATTACAGTAACATTGCAGAAGTGAACTTCTCAAAAGGCAAGTATGATGTAGTGTACAATATATAACTCGAGGTTCATATTCTCTGTGTGAGTTATTCATCCTTAGCAAACTTTGCTCAGATACGTAATCGTTTAAGTATTAACTAAAAAAAGCAGTAATAACTGCTAAGTCATTTTAGACTTTAGACTTAATGGTTTAATAGTGCTCTTCTGTTTTATATAATCAGTACTATTTTTAGTATGAAACTGGTGGTAAGCAGATCCTCAAAGGAGGAATAGCTCAACTTTTCTCCTTCTTTAAAAACCCATCATTTCCCACTGAATTTCTGCCCTCTCCAGACCATCATGGCCCCCTATAGACTGGAGAATTTTGGGATTCGGAATTGGAAAATGTAATATTCTGAATTCTTCCTGTTTACATGCATTTCTTAAAGGAACTTATGTTAACCACCTCTGAAACACAGAAAGCATTTGAACAGCTTTAACATCCATGCCCATGTCCAGAGTCTGAAATGTTACAGTGAACCCTTCTACAATTGAATATTAGAAACAATTATGAATACCACTGAGAAGGTAAATGGACGGTGCTGTTGATCATCACTTCAGTTCTGTATTCTTAATTTTAAAAACATCTTTTAGACAAGGGCAACTGAGGTCTGTGATCTCCTCTTTCCCATTCTCTAACTTTCATGTTCCTGTCTAATTAATTTTCTCAGGTTTTGATTACTTAACCAATCAACCAAACAATATGCACGTATGTCCAGTACTGTAATGACAAACTCTGGTTGCAACACTAGTTAATGTTTTTAAAATGCTTTTCATTTCCCCTCCCCCAAAATGCTTTCAAAGACATTGAGTCTCATGTCTAAAATGGCCTAATTGCATCACTGGAATTTATACATCTTTGATCACATGCAGTTTGTTCTGTATGTTTAATTTGAATTTTAGGGTCAGGTCAAGAGGCCTGTAATCAAAGTCACTGCTATGCAATCAAAGAAGTGTAATGAAAAGCTTCATTATAATTAACCACACTATCTAACACCAAATTAATGGAGACTTGAAACTTCTCAGTGTGCAATTACGTATCAATAACTTTTCACAGGCGCTTTACTTTTATTAGTCAATCTGATCAAACGCCACAGCTGCCTTATCACTGAAACCCAGGTTGCACCTTGCTTCTACATTTGGTTTTAAATAGATGCATACCTAGTGATTTGTTGCTTATCTTGGGGACTGCAAAAGCAATATCCAGCTATCTAGCCAATGGGCCACTTCAGACTATTAAAGCGGAAAGTGTTATTCTATCCCTTAACATGTCTTGTGAGTATTGGTTCTTCCTCATATCTCCCTTTCAAATCTCCTTTTGCAGATTTTTTTTCATGTTCAACAAAATGTACCATGATCCAAAGAAATGGAAGTCTCATGGAAATGACTGTCGAGCTGAAACAGGAGTCTCATTTTGTGAATGGTTTAGTTCAACAAAATTTCCCCTCTCCTAATGATGACTATGAATTCCCAGCGATGTTCCTTCCGTACTAATTATGTAAAGCCTCACTTGTCTAAACCTTGCACAAGAACAGAACTGCAAGTTTATTTCACAAAATACCTTGGCAAGAGATGAAATATCTTGTGGACTCAACAAGAGAAAGGAACAAGAACTATTTGGATGCATGTGTGCAAAGTAAGCACATTTGCATTAAAGTGTTTTTTATTAAAATAATGTAGATTGTGCAAAATAATGGCCACTGATTTGTTACATGGGTTTGAAACACTGAAAGACTTGCTGTGTCTTTTTACACTATTGGCCAGTTGTTCTGTGCCTGCTATCTCTGTATGTTTTGCTTCCAAAGTACGTAGAAGGGACACCCATTTTGCACAGAGGCAAAATTTCCTCTAAAATAAGACCTAACCTGAAAATAAGCCCTGGTATGATTTTTCAGGATGCTCGCAATACTGTATAAGCCCTACCCCCCAAATAAGCCCCATTTAAGTGAAACCCCACCTTCCACCATTGTGCAGCAACCAGAAGAAGATGACATGACTGAATAAATGTAGATTGTTGTACATGAAAAAAAGTTCCCTGAAAATAAGCCCTACTGTGTTTTTTTGGAGCAAAAATTAATATAAGATTTTGTCTTATTTTCAGGGAAACAGGGTAACTATGTCTGAATACTAGAGATGAAGAAGGATTAGTCTGCTCATAGTCCTGGTGGGAAATTACAGTATCAGTGAAACAGGACTTGAAGATGGTATTAGCTGTTATCTTGGCCATTGGCAGCACATTCTCTCTTCCGCCATTCAGCAAAAGGATAGCTTGAAAGCTTCGTGTCTGCAGCTTTGGTATTGTCAAATAGATAAACCTGGCTGGCTTTGTGATGATGTAATACTATTACCTGCATGATGTGCTCTGCGAGACAACACATATTTAATGTAAAAAGAAAATGGGATTAAAGTGCCAGCAGATCATAGGGAGATGGCAGCAGAGAGGCATAAAAATAGTAGATGAGGAGATGGAAATTTTGGAAAAAGGTGTGAGGGAAGATTCCTCTCACAATGGCAGCTATTACAGAAAATAATGAACCTCAGGAAATGCAGTTACTTAACCATGTGCACAATTTGTTTGATTTTATTTTGATCTAGATTTATGCAATTCTTGGTTTGCACTTATGTGATATAACATTGACTTCAGGAGATCAGTCATCAATACTGAGATTCTGCAACAATGTCATGTTTGCATATTCCTTATTTCTTGTTCCTTATTGCAGTTTTCAAAAATATGCTTTTCTTTTCTTTTCCTTTCCCTCCTTCTCCTTCTCTGTCTCTTTTCCTCCCTGTGATGTTCCACCCAGTGTTCCTGGTTTGTTTTCCCCAGACCAAGGTTCACTCTCTGGATTTGTTTTGTCTTTCTTCCACTGCCACTACGGTGAATATCTCTCACCCACACTGCACCATATATGCATCGGACACGTGCTGCCAATATAACTTGTTTATTTATCTTTTGGTATTTACATCACAGATGTTCTTTTATCGTTGTGTAGAATCACTCATTAAAACTTCTTGTATTTAATTGCATATTTGTTTTATCTGGGTGTTGTATTTACTTATTCACATTAGCCAACTCATTAATAATCTCTATCTCTTTATCTTGACTATTCAATTTATCTCTTTCACAACTCTCCTACTCAATCTCTTTCCACTCTCCAACTCTTCTATTCTCCTCTCTAACTCTCAATCAACCCCTCTCTCTTTTTTCTCTAACTTTCTCCCTCTCTCTGTCTCCTTGACTCTGCCCCTCCTGCCTTCTCATAGGCTCCTGCACTTGAGCTTCAGCTATGATAGACAGGAATGACGTGGGCATTCCACCACACTCCCAGTTTCAGAGACATGGCAGAGCAAGGAAGATGGGAACTAATGCACTGAAGACCTTAGTCATCAGAGGTCTTCTGTCATTCATATAGAGATCTAAATATTATATCACGAAATTTTTGAAAGTAAACCAAACCTAGGACTGAGATATATCCCAGTTGATTATAGGCGCACCCAGGTGACTTGACTGGCAGTATTGAGATAACTGTCGTTATATGAAGGTGTAAAAGTTAAATGTAATGCATTAAAGCTCTAGCTTTTTTCGGGAACAAAACTCTATTTTCCTTTCACGTAAAACAGAAAACAGGTTCTAAATTGCAACAAATGGCATGTTAAAAATTATAGCTATAGAAAACACATCAATGATGTATATCTTCCTTCAGACAGTTGCTTTCGTGTAGACAGCTCATGTAAATCATTTTTAATTAGGTCCTGGGCATAAGAAAAATTGCCAAGTAATATTTCTCTAGAAGAGTTTTGGCATGATTAACAATTTTTTGTAAGATCTCAATGGATAATAGAGCAGAAACATAGATATGCAGAACAGTGATAGATAATGCAATGTCTAGTGAGAGAATCTGATTATTAAAGTTTGATGATGTTTTTAGTTAAAGGCACCGACGTGGGTGTCAGTGGTCATTATTAATTTTCTAAATATATGTTCTATTTGTGGCCCAGATAATAAGGCTGCAATCCTCAACACACTTTCCTAGGAGTAATACTTAGTGAACTCAGCAGGGTTTACTTCTGAGGAGGCTCAGCAGCAAAAGCACTGTAAATGAGTGGAGAACCAACCTCTATGTGCCACAACATATTGCAGGGATTGCAGTACTCCATACTAATGTAGCAGTTTTCCAGAAAAGGGTGTCAATGGCCTGATCCATGGCACAATTAGAGACCTGATGAGATGGGCAAATTGGGATTCGCATAAAGCCACCCAACTCACGTGCAATGAGATTAAGTTTAAGCAATGAGGAATTGAAGCAGAGACTCTTTAATTAGCAGCTGTCTACCACTGAAGGTTATGTCGTGCCCCTCATGCGGATGTAACTTACGCATTCTTGTCATTTCTTCAAAACTTTTGGATTCTCTTTCACCTTTATTCTGACAGACTGAATGGGCATTCTTCTGTTGAATGTTTCAAAAAAGTGAATCCCAGACAGTAATATGAGTCACTTTGCTCAACAAGTTTGCCAAATAGGCTTAAGGTCTTCTACTGATAATCCTCATTTTAATCGTATAATTAATACACAAAAATTCTTCTTCATTTTATGAAATACGGTACTTCTTTGACCTCATTGACCCACTTGGATTATGTAGTCTGAAAATAAAAATACTACTATATGGTTCTTCTATACACCTATCTATCAAATGAAAGGGACAGAGATCAATGGGAAGAACACAGGCAAATACGTAGTCCTGTTATTTTTCATCCAGTGGCTAACAGCAGCAGCCTTCCTCAGAGGTACCTTGCAGTGTAATCTATACATGTCCGTTGGGAAGTGATTCCTCAGTGGCTTATAACCATCAGTGATATGGCATCCCTGAGGAGTGGGATCACTCTTGCGCTTTCCACATGACTCTGGAATAGATTGGAGAGGCAAGTTGCAAAGGGTTCCAAGAGAAAGGAGGAGAAGGGAACTTCAGCGTAAATCTGCTTGTACAACACTGGATTATCACCTGTTATGTTTAATGGGCCATACTTTCAGGGATGTGGCCTTGATCCTAGGTCTATGATTATAAAACTTAATCTGAGTTTTTATGGGAAAACTTTGCACAGAACCTTGCCCCCACACTAGTTGTGGCATCAGCTTGCAGCCTTTAAATCTGTATAAAGGACACACTGCATTCCAGGATAGAGCAGTTATCAATCAGATGGTGTAATAACAAACCCCCAGTTGCCAAAACAGACCCCGACTCATTTGTTGTTTGTTGCAATATATATTTTATTAACCCAGAGCCTCCAATCCACAAAGTAAATTATTTTTTCAGTTAAAATGTGTCTTAATTTTAAGTGTTGAACTACTACATTAATGTGGAACATAGTTAATTCATAATTTACAGAAAGATTAAAGGGGGTGGGTTTTACAAACTAATTTCATCCCAGCAAAAGTTAATAAGACTTTGAAATTACAGTGCTCATATTTATGCAGAATGAAGTGAGACAGAGAACAGCAGTGCTCTGAAGCGCAAAAGTTATGAAATTCTTTGCTGGCAGGTGATGTTTCATTCATTGAGGGGAATGTTCCCATGGCAAGAAATGCCTTTTTAACTACTTTACTATATTCTCAGATGCTAACGTTGTTGTTGTTTACTCGTTAACTCTTGTCCAACTCTTCAGATGTTAACAGATAGCCTTAAATTAAGGCTGTATGAGAACTAGTATGAGAAAAGTGAAGGAGGTACATTTCTGATGGTTGGAAACCCAAGTGCTACGAAAGCTAGAGATTTTCCCAAACACTGTGCTGTTTCCTCAGGAATTTCCCTTTGGTAAATGATCATACAGCTTCTTTGATAAGTTTAGCCAACCGTTGAAAACCCTGTAAGAGAAATTAGCAGCATGAACAATACCAGGAAGAAAAAATATCCTTGGTGATGTGATGGTTACTGTGCTGGATCACAGAAGTGAGAACACTGCATCACATTTCATAAATATTTTAGTATATCTTTTCTTCATGTGACAACACTGAAGAAATTACACTTGGCTACAATGTAAAGCAGTGAGTATACAGCTTGTATAACAATGTAAATGTCCTGTCCCCTCATAAAAAACACAACACACGACCATTAATGTCTAAACCGCTGGCAATAAAAGTGAGTACATCCCTAAGTGACAATATTTAAGAAATGTGAGGGGGTGTACTCACTTCTGTGATATACTGTACATGAACACATGCACAGAGGCTGAAAGCTGTGAAAGGAAAATACTGTGAGCTAAAGAGCTATTTTTGCTAAGATCAGCAATTTCCAATGGGACCCCACCCCCTTCTCTTTAATTTTTTAAAACATTTTTTCAAAGTGACCTTGTGGTAACTTTAACAAGCAGGTATTTTTAAAAATGGAAAAACTGTTTGCAGGAGGGGAGAAACAGATACCCAGTTGAGAAGAACTGCAATAACAGTGCACTGTTCTGAGACTCAAACTAGATGATGCAGCTATCATGTCATTAGAAATGCAGCACACCTAAGAAGTAAAAGACGTATTTTTTCATCTATGAGTTTGCCTCGCTCTACATGCTGCAGTCTATCTCCCCCTCTCTTTTTTTTGTTGATAATCATTGGAAGGCTTCATTGCTCAGGCATAAAGCTCTGAAGAAAATGTCTGGCTAGTGGAAACACAGTGTACCACCAGTTTTCCTTAATATGTGGTTTGACATCTGTGTAAGTGCATGTGAGCTTGGATTTGTGGGAAGAAAACAGGGTATGCTCCATGCATCAGTGATGCAGAAGAGCATGGCTGGATGGGATGTTTTCTTCCTAAATTATTTCACTCGACAACATTCCTTTACTTGACAGCAGTTCTACTTTTTCTATTTCAGGAGTCTGGACAGCATGATAGCTGTCCTGGCTTGGGATGTAGCAGCTTTAAACAGAGAAATTACATTTCATCCAAACCACTAACAGGTTTTTTTTTGCCAACACAAAACTTCTTAATAAGAGAAAGAGTGATCTAAAGCACTTGCATACCTAGAAAAGGGAGCAGTGTGCAGCTACAAACCTGCAGAATTTAAAAGTGACTCACTGCCACACAACCAGGTGATGACTAACAGACAAGACATATCGTGTGAAGGTTGCACTCAGATTGCTTAAGAAAACCAACCCTATACATTTCTATTCAGAATTAAGTGAGTTTTAATGCAGTCCTGTCTACTTGCTTCAAAACCTGTCCCATTATCAAGTAGCAACAAATTTATTCAGTACAGACATGTACAACAGATTTTTAGACAGACAGACAAATAGAAAAAGGCTATGATCCAAGAACCAGAGCAGAGAATTTGAAGCAGTACGAACTTCACTCTATTTCTTGAGGCAAACGGGGAAAACATTGAAACTAGCGAGGAAAGGGTTTAACTGCAGCTGTAGAAGAAAAGACTTCACAAGGAGGCAAGGCAAAAAAATGATGCTCACCTGATCAATTTGGCTGGGAGAAGACAGTGAGAAGGAAGCTCTGACGTAAGAACTGGGGTCAGAACTGTTAATGTTAAATGCTCTTCCAGGAACCAGCAGCACCTAAGGGAAGAATCCCATTTTGTTCAGCTATAAGCTTGCATCTTTTGAAATATTCAAAATGGTTAAATTATTACTTTTTCCTCTCCCAGTTTTATTGTAGGACAAGTAGAGTAGCTTTCTCGTACTTGTTTCTCCAAGGCTTTTTTCATGATCAGCTCCTGTGTGTCAGGAATTCCCTTAATTTTAATCCACAGGAACATTCCAGCGGCAGGTGCATGCCAGTCGGCTAAGCCTTAAAAAAGAGAAGCAAGCAGCTGGATGAGAAGAAACATAGCCACATGCAAGTGTGCACATGTGTAACCAGTTAACATGTAAGTTTAAAGGGAATTGCACTGAGTCCATTAGAATTAAAATGAGCGTCATGGGCAGCATGTAGACTAAGATAGGGGCATGGTCTGCCAATGCTCAATGCCCATTCCCTCCCTCCACTACACTAGACTGCAATACTTGATAGGACACAAGTTAAAATACATGCTTGCATTTAGATAATGATGCAGCTTTGAACAACTATCGACAAAGTAGCACATATCTTCTTTTCTGAAATACAAATGGGTTCTGTTGATTGCATTCCTGCACATGTTTACCTGGAAGTACATCCAGGTAAGTGAACACAAAGGTCAGAATCCTGTTATAAATTTACACTGGTGTAAGTGTGATGGTATAAATAGTAGCAAATTCTGTGAGAGACATACAACTAGAAATGGAGGAATTGGTCAAAAAATTATGAGTGACTCTTAATTACCTACAGTGGACATCATCTTTTCACAAATGTGGAAACCTACAGATACTGTAGTTACTGATTATAACCTTTACTACTTCAGGCATGTGTTTAGTTTATTTATTAAGATTATTAAGTTTTAAATCCCTTTCTGGAAAAATAACAGAGAACAACTCAGGAAATTGAGAAAACTGTACAGTATCTCGCATTCCAACAAAAGTGACTCTGATGGGATAAGATCTGAGAAAATGTTTTCCCAAATACTGTATCTTAAAAATCCAAACAGACTTGTACGGGGTAATACGGTCTTTCATATAATAGCTCAAATATGTATTTCTATTGCCAACCTTTTAGCCACTTATCTGCTGCAGTGAGCATGATATCCCGCTGTTTCTTGTAGAAATCCACCACACTAGGAGGGGGGAAAAAGGAAAATACTGTAAAGGAAAATTGTAATGAGAAGACAGTGGACAAAATTCTCTGGCTTAAAACAGTAAATTGCAGTAAAGTAACCCATTGAATCAATTAGGGTTTAGTGAGTCAGTTCTCTGTATGGTTACAGAGTTGACTCACCAAATTCCCACTGATTCAATGCACCTACTCTAGTGTAATTTACTACTCTAAGAAACAGGATTAATATAAGATTAACATTCTGATAGTAGAAACTAGGCAAGTCCTTTTGGGTTAAGGTTTGTAATAGAAATAAATGAATTTTACATAAATGAAGAGCCGCCTAGAGTGGTCCTATGTGATTCAGATAGGCGGGATATTAAATAAATAAATAAATAAATAAATAAATAAATAAATAAATAAATAAATAAATTGTTGTACACAAAATGGATGGCATGTGGATGCTGGCTTTACTCTTTTCCCAACCAGGAAAAGCCATTCAGCTTACTGCACAAACTGAGGCTGTGACTACATTGGTAAAATAGGCCACAGCTTGACTTGCAGCCTATTTTACACTTCTATTTGGAGTAGGTGATCACAGAGAGTCCGGGGATCGGTTTGATGCGTCTCAATCCGACCTGGTTTAATCCACACAACAGCCCATAGCCCTCCTTCCTTTGAATGCACCCTCTGCCAAACCCCAGCTGTCCTTTTATGATTCGCTGTAAGGCTGGTGGACTGTTTAAAGTGCTGCACAGCATTAGGGAAAACGGACAGTTCCCCACAGCTCTCCATAATGTACAAACACATATTATGGAAACACAGTAGTGTGATGTTGTTCTTCTGAGTTGTTTCTATTTTGTATCGGTTTTTACCTTTTTTTTGTTGTCTGTGCAGAAATGATTTAGTGCTAAAGTAATTATAATAATAAACCTTTATTGGCATACAGCAGAAAAAGCCGCAGAATAAATACAATAAAATACGCATACAGGGTTCGTTGCATGCGAGTGGGGTGGAGAAAATAACAGCGTTAAGCCCCTCATTTTAGAGAGGGCATGTTGCGACGTCTCTGAATAATGGCGTGAACATATCGAGCAGTTGATACAGTAACTTCCTTGTTAGTACCATTTAAAAGGTATTGGGTTTTCTTTAGGTCATCCCATCGCGTGTAGGAGGGGGGAAAGACCGACTGGTGGAGCAGGCGGATATCCGTGTACAAAATGCAATGAAATAGCATATGATGCAGAGTTTCAGTTTTTCCCTGGCCACATGGACAGGTTCTCAGGTCTGTAGGAAGGCCCAAGTATCTGCCCTGCACTAGATTTGATGGAACTATGTTGCATCTGGCGAGAGTAAATGCCCAGCGCTCTAGTGGCTGTTCAAGAAAATATAAGTAGCTTGGGCTGCGTCCGAGAGTGAGTGAGAGGTGAAGACGAAGTGGAGAGCAGACTTTTTGTGCCGCACTAAACAAAGTTTGCCCTTCAATGTCCAGGACCCTGTTTTTGATGGTTGGAAACACCTTGGAGGGGGGTATAAGGCCCAGAAGGTCGGGAGATAGCCCTAGAGTCTTAACTTTCTTTGTAAATAGGGCCAAGCCATTGGGAAGCAGGCTATCGGCTAGCAACGCTTGCAATAGGGTGTCCTTGGGAGAGAAAAAACAAATTTTGACCCAGTATTTGAGAAATCTGAGCCAGGCCCTAGTCTCAATTCTGTATTGGCCACCCTCAAGACACAGAGCTGCGTATGGGACACAGTGAGGGAGGCCAAGGATTTTGTATAAAAATACAGATTGTACTCTCTCCACAGAGCTGTGTAGTGAGGACAACCAAATAGGGACGCGGACATTCACATCTCAGAGAACTCCAGTGTTTGTCCTTCAGCCTCGCCGGTTCTGCCAGAACCCTCGGCTAGTCCGGATGCGGACATCCGAGCCGGGGTCGACTCCTATGCTGTAAGCTCACTTCCGGACTCAATGCCACCCGTCATATTGTCGCCTTCAAACTGACATTCGGTCAACCCACTCCCCTCTGCTCCATCGGCTAACCTAAGTCTGATCTCCTGGAACGTGGCGGGCTGGCACGGCAAAAAGCAGGATCCTGACTTTTGTGATCTTCTTCGAGGCTTCAGCACCATACTGCTACAAGAAACGTGGACGGCTCACCCTATATCCCTAGCCGGATATGCTTCATATTCCCTACCAGCTCAAAGGCTCACGACAAAGGGACGGCCATCCGGGGGTTTAGCAATACTAGTAGTCGACACAATAGCTTCCAACGCCATTCTTTCCGTCGACGGCATTTGCAAAATCCAGGCCATAAAATTGAAAACCAGGAACCACGAGCTTCTAGTAGCCAATGTTTACATGCCTCCAGCACCCTCCAAGTCTCACAGGCTCAACCAATGGGAATCCCTGAGCTCTGCTCTTGATAACCTTGAGCTCCGGTTCCCTGGGACCCCGCTGTTGCTGGCAGGCGACTTTAACGCCAGGGTAGGTCAGGGTGAGACCATCTTCAATCGCGTGTCGGAGACATTTAGCGAC